CTTATCTTGGATGGCTGAAAAATCACCACAAGCAACTTTAAAAAAAATTCAAAATATCACAATTTTTTTTTTGTTAACAAATTTTTTCATTTATTTAAACGATCAAAGTACAAGAAGAGGGAATGAAACATTCTCCTAACATTAATACAACATAATTGAAATACGATAAACATAAAACAGATAGATCATCGTAGAAGATGGACAGCGAATCCAAGTCGTGACTCGGATGCGTCAAGAGAGTCTTCGCGGCAAGACCGGAGAGTCTCAGGGTAGTTACTTTCCAATGTGACTTTGAAGATCCCGACATAATGCTCGGGGGATTCGACCACTCTCCAGGAGAGGGAAGAAGATACGACCAGTCTCAAAGAGACGAAAGGTGGAATTGAACTCTTCCACCGAGAGTAAATTACAGGATTTGAGAATCCAGAAAACTTTGATGTTCTCTCAAAAGAAGAGGTAAAATCGATAAAAACTGCAGGATTTGAGAATCCAGAAAACTTTAAATTACTCTCAAAAATAAAATTTCAGAATAAAAAACATTGTGAAATCTGTTTTGATTTTCAGAATTTTATACATCTCATGGATCAGGCCCAATACATGCTCATTTTTGTATGTGCCAAGGGGAAGGAATTTTCTTGGGCTTAAAGGTCCACTCGATTGAATAACCCAAGCCCAAAATTTGTTATTGTTATTAACGCATGGAAGCCGGCGTATCGGAGTATGGCCGACGGTGAGTCTTTGGACCAAGCCACCACCAGGAACGATGACGGGACATTGGGAATCAGAGCCTCGTCACCACCTTTGTTGGAGCGGGGATCATGGCCGGTGAGGGGAAAAGGAAGATTGGATGAACTCGATAAAGTGAGTCGGGCTCGCAGCGAGGGATTAGAAGATGGATTCTTCAGCCTTCGGCCATAGCACTGAGACAGAGAGTCTCGAGCTTGGGATCGAAGGGAAACGTAGCTAGGGGATGGTGGTACTAACCGTCGATAGCTATCCGAACTTTTTGATCTGGTGCCGTTCAGATCTAGAGAGATCTTCGGTATAAACCGACGGTGGTGGAGTGTGGATTGGTTGTCGAGCGGTAGTGTTTTGCCAGTGAAGCCAAAGCCGGCCAGAGATGACCTTTCCGATGGAGGCTCGAGAACCATCGGAGTAGCAACCGAGAAGCTCCGACCGACTGAGATGGAGGACGGTGGAGGAGATGGGAAGCTTGAGTCCGGGGGGACCAGAGGGTCCGGAGGGTTCGGTGGGCGAAGAGATCTCAGCACTCTTGCCAGGATCTTCCACCGCCAAGCTAGGAAATTGAGCAGTTTTGTATGGTTTGTTGCCGCGGAGGGTGGAGGCAGGGAAACAAGCATCTGAACCGAGTCAATAACCACCGTCGGTGAGTGGAGCCGGGTCTCACCAGTGAAGGACGACAAGAGCAACACCAGATAGGAGGGGTGAGCTGCAAGGTCACCGGAGGAACACCGGCGGGATAGGCTCATCTCGTCGCGCGGCTGTCTCAGGAAGCTCGCCTAGGAGAGATTCACTTTAGGGCGAACACCAAAGAAAGTTTTCATTGTTTGTTTTTAAAAACATCACAAACTTTAGATATAGGAAACAAACCTAAAATTTCGGTGAGAGTTCTTGAATCAAATAGTACCACTTTTTTAGTCAAAATTTAAATAAATCTTTAGTACATGAGAAAAATGTATTTTTTTCTTTTCTTTTTGCTAAAAAGAAAATTGTATTTTCATTTAATTCAATCTTGTATTGTTTAAA